AGTTGGGCGTGAATACCTCCATTGGGAGATACTTCTCTGTATCAGGTATAATTCTCTCCTACTCCTTTTGGTTCAGATCTGATTCAGTTTAAGGTTCAAGAATGATCCTTGAAAATATGATTTTCTAAATAGGGAATGCGATTCCCAGTTGAAGGGAGAAAATTTTTTTTTGAAATTCGCCCCCTTATTCCGCAATCTTTGGGTGTCCATAGGATGGATCTCTCATCCCTTCACTCCTTTGAATTTCTTAGCTGCAACTAAAAGAGTCCATTATCATTCGACCATTGTAGAAGAATTTTCTTCGTTTCCCTATCCTTCACAAGAAAGAAATGAGGATGAAATTCAAAAAAAACACATTGTTATCTGCTAGAAATTGTACTACATATAAGAAATTCTTTGTAACTCCTGGAGAATGTAAAACATTTTTGAGAACAAGAGAATGTGAAAGGGTTTGTAAGCTAGATGAACCAATATTCTTGATTTGCAAACCTGTCCCATTTGCAATGTGAATTTGATCTACTCCAGTATATTCAGAATGGAGCTTCAGATTGGGAAGATCTAATGTAAGATGATTTGTAGCTCTTGAGTCCGGATACCAACTTCCACCATTAATAGAAGGGGTCATGTTGACAAAATTTGCAGCTTTCTCTCCATCTTTGTGATACCTGAAACAATTCCTTGCAGTGTGGTTTTTCTTCTTACGGATTTGGCAAATCACAGGAGAGGATCCCATGCTGCCATCATTAAATTGAGGCTTCTTCTGTTGTTGTGCTTTATTTGCTTGCCCTTTATATTTATTATATTCTAACTTTTCTTGTTGTTTTCCACGTTGAGCAACGTGAACACTTGAGATGCTGTTTTTAGGGTGAATCTTCAAGGCTTCCAACCTAATCTCATGATTATATAACATATCTTGTAAATCATCAAAGGAAATTTCTTCAGGTCAAGTACTTACGATGTGATAAAAAGATTCATAGTCTGAACCCTAGTCAAGTAAGAGTGCGAATCACAAGATCATAATCTGAAATTGGTTGACCAACCATTGATAATTTGTCTAAAATAGCTTTGGCTTTATGGAGATATTCATTCATACTGAGGTTGCCTTTCCTCAGATTCATCAATTTGGTGTGTAATTGCATGATTTTGACTCTAGAATGAGAGGCAAAGAGTTTTTCTAGAGTACGCCAGATAGCTTGAGTGGTGGTGTATCCAATTACATGCCCTAGAATGGTTTCTCAGATCATTGAGAGCATCCAACTCAATAAGAGTTGATCCTGTTTTCTCCTTTGTATATAGGCAGGATTGGGAATAGTTTTTTCATCTTCTTGAATGGTCTAGATTAACAAGGAAGGGTACCATCTGTATAACCAAGTAATTCAGACCCAAAGAGAGCAGAAAGAGC